TATTTTATTATAGTATTTGGTTTTATCTTCTCGAGCTGTTGTGAAATTTTCCTAAATTTTGAAAACGACTTATTTCTCCAAACTAAGTCACAAAATGAATGTTAACCTTAATGGAACACCCAGTATAAAAAAAAAATAGCTTCTAGACAGCTATAAATCCAAAGAATTGAATGTGATAAACCCCAGATAAGTGAATGTGCCTCATTCAAACAAGTTAGAAACAAAAGCTGAAATTTTAAAATATTATCTGCTACTTAATAATGTAATTTCATTTAAAATATTCAGTTTTGACATGATATATACATACGTATATATGTATAATATACACACATATATAATTTTATCATTTATTAAAAATATTTCCCCAGCTTTTTTGAGCTATACAATTTGATTTACCTGTAATCTTTGTGCTTCTGTTGACTGCCCAACGCTGGCATCCTTCACAGATGATTCTAAGCCTTTATACTGAAACAAAGAAATACCGTAAGTGAAAGCACAAAAACTTGATTTCAAATTTATCTGTAAGGGTACCTAAGAATAATAGAGGATCCCTGTTTACATTAAATGACTGGTGTGGCACTGTAGCATCAACACTGGACTATGAACCACAAGGTCAGCAATTCAAACCCAACAGTTGTTCTCTGGAAACCCTATACAGGGCTGCTGTGAGTAGGAACTGACTCAACAGCACTTAACAACAACAACATTTATGTTAACTTTACTTCAATTTATTTATCACCTCTAAGTGAGCTCTGGTGGCGTAGTGGTTACGAATCGGGCTGTGAACCTCAAGGTCAGCAATTCGAAACTACCAGCGGTTCCGCGGGAGAAAGATGAGGCGTTCTGCTCCCATAAAAATGTACAGCCTCAGAAACCCTGTGCAGGGTTGCTATGAGTCAGAACTGACTCCACGGTGCTTAACAACAACAACAACAAGGCATAGCCAGGAGCCCTGATATGGCTGTACAGGATAAGCAATGGACTGCTAACTGCTAGGTCAGAGGTTCAAACCCACCAGCCATGCCTCAGAAACACTGCACAGTGTCACTATAAATCAGAACCAACTCCTAAGTACTTAGCTACAATAACAAAGGCATAACCCAAAGGTCTTTGTATCAAATCAGCATAACAAAGCCAGAACAGCAACATACTAGCTCAAACAACAAATGGTAGAACCTCTTTGGTAACAAGAAAGTTGTTCAAAGCCTGCTTCACAGAGAACACAGGATTGTACCTCATATCAGCAATCTGTGCCTTTTAAAATGAAGTAAAATTCTAAAGGCAAGGTTGTGCTGAAAATTAACCAAAAGTTAATTTTTCTATAAAGTTTGAATACCTATTGTCTTCTCTAATAAACCTATTCATTAAAGAAAAAATGTACATTAACTGGTCATCATAAATTTTCAATTCTAATTCAAACTGTACAGTTAGTAGGAAACACAAAATCTTTAAAAGATAAAAAGAATTACCACCAACAAATGTAAAATAAGGATAATTAAATTATTATAAAATTTGACAACATGCAAAAATAATTGTTAAATGGAAGACTAAGTTGTTTTGGGACTGAAAATAAATATAAAGGTGCATGATGAGTACTATTAGGGTGGATGGGGTAAGGTTTCCCAATCAACTTCTCATAGGACAATCCTTGCTAGCCTCGAAGAATGAGCATGTGCATTATCACGAAGAAAAAAGAGTTCTAAACACAACTTTCCTGGCCTTTTTCTCATTAATGCAGTTTTCCACTTTCTTACAACTTCTTCATAAGTCCCTGTGATCTTCCTGTAAACTTGGAGAAAATCTATCAAGATTACCCCCTTGAGTATCCCAGAAAACAGTAGCTATCATCTTCTGAGCTGATGCAGGGCAGTGAATCATTAGTATGGTTCTTCTAGCCATACTCCTCCATTCTGTGATCAACTGCTGGCGTGGCACAATAGGATAACCACTGGACGACTAACCACAAGGTCAGCAGTTCAAATCCACCAGCTGTTCCTTGGAAATCCTATATAGGGTCACTATGAGTCAGAACTCACAGCACTTAACAACAACATGCCTTTGATTATGAATGAATTTTGAAGCGAGTTGTAAATGAGGTAGGATTAAAGTGGGATTAGGTGGAACTAAGGAGTCCTGGTGGTGTGGTGCTGTGGTTTAATGCACCAGACTGCAAAGCCATTTGATCTGCAAGGACGGTGGTTCAAGCTCACCAGCTGCTCTTCAGAAACCTTATACAGGGTTGCTATGGGTCAGCATCAACTCGATGGCACTTTCACAACAACAACAACAACAAAGAGTCCTGGTGTGGTGCTGTAGGATAAGCACTGGATCACAAGGTGGTTTGAATTTCAAGGTCAGCAGCTAAAACTCACCAGCTCAGAAATCTGGGATATCTTTAACTTTTACTTCATAGGAACCAGCCTTGTGCTGATAGTCCTAAAAGAAATTATTCATGCAGCCGACCTCTCTCCCTTGAACTGAACTGGCCCAACAGAAGACACTGTCTTGATTGGACCTTTTTTTTTAAAGGCTCCCTGAAGGCTCCTAACAACAACAACAAATGAGACCAAAGAGTCCTGGTGTGGTGCTGTGGGTTAATGCGCTAGACTGCAAAGTTGGTTTGAACTACAAGGTCAGTGGTTCAAGTTCACCAGCTGCTCCTCGGAAACCCTATACAAGGTTTCTATGGGTCAGAACTGACTTGACAGCACATTAAGAACAACAACAACAAACAATGAGACTAAAGGAGCTCTGGTAGCATAGTGGTTACGAGTCAGGCAACCATAAGGTCAGCAGCTCGAAACTACCAGCTGTTCCACAGGAGAAAGATGAGGCTTTCTGCTCCTGTAAAGATTTATAGCCTCGGAAACCATACGCAGTGTTGCTCTGAGTCAGAACCGACTCTATGGCACAGAACCACCACCAGTGAGACCGAGACAAGAGGATCACTGAAAGAACTAGTCTGTAGCCATCCACTCAGAGTCATGTTTAATCACACTTTGTTTGGAATAAACCCATGCATGTGTGAACTGGAGCCTGAGAAGCAATACTTTTGATTCACCTTTGTATATTCAATATAATCCCAATCAAATTCCTAGTAAGGTAAGTGTATATGAAAACTGATTTAACTCATTCAAAATTTACATGGAAAGGCAGTGTAAATACAGCCAAGAAAATCTTAAAGAACATAGAGGTTTACAATGTCAGATAACTAAACTTATCATAAAACTACAGTAAATAAGAAAGCATGGTATGGGTGTAAGAATAACAGGATAGACCAAAAGAGCAGGAAGTATTCCAAACACAGACTCAAATATTTGCAGGTATATGATTTCAATAAAGGAAAATATGCTAGATATGAAAGACTCCTACTGAAGATATGTTCTGGTGTGGCGCTGTAGACTAAGCACTAGACCACAAGGTCTGTTTGAACCGCAAGGTCTGCGGTTTGAACTCACCAGTTGCAGCTGGGAAACCCTATACAGGGTCGCTATAAGTCCAGACTGGACAGCACTTAACAACACTGAAGCTATGTACTGTCATTAGCGTATGAAAAGCTCTGAAATAACCCTGCCATACAGAAACCTGTAGAAGAAGACATTGCAGTGCAACAGAGAAAAGTCAGACTTATCAATAAATTGTTGTTGTTAAGTGCCATCAAGTCGGTTATAATTCGATAAATGGTACTAGTTAAATGGATGTTGTTTTGTTAGTGCCATCGGGTAGGTTCCAGCTCATAGCAACCTTACACACAACCGAATAAAATGCTATCTAGTCCTATGCTATCCTTATAAACTTTGTTAAGCTTAAGCCAAGAGGTTAATTGGATAGCAATATGAAAAAAATTTAATCTTGACCCCCTAGATTTTACCATCACAGATTGTATTCCAGATGGATTACAGAATGAGAAAAGTAAAACAATAAAGTGTCTAAAAGATAATAAATATTTACATCCTTGGGTTAGCAAAAATAAGAACTTCAACTTATCAAAAAACATCATTTAAGGGGACTTTAGACCCAAAGAGGAAGACGGACTTTGTGCTGACAACCTGGGGGGGAGGGGGGCCAGGCTTGCAGCGTATACCCTGTGGTTGGTTGATGATGCAAGGATGGGATTGTAACCATGGTAATGAAATGATATAGTGATATACGATAGGTGAATGTAAAACTAATGTTCTCCCATGTAAACTATAACATAATTCACAATAAAACATTTTAAAAAATCATTTGAATTAAAAAGGCAAGCCACAGAATATGTAGTCTTTTTCAATACATATATCATACAAATACAAAACCCAAAAATTCTACATATCAAAAAGCAAAAAAGATAGCTAACCATGTCTTTAAAAATGTAAAAACCACTTGATGACTTCACAAAATAAACCTGCTCAAGGGAAACTTTTGAGGTGATGGAAATGTTTTGTATGTAGCGGTATTTACATGGTGGTTTACACTTATCAAATCCTGTCAAACTGATGGAATTTATTATATATAAAATATAGTACTATACATTTTAATTTTTAAATAAGATAATATTAATAAAGTTCCAAATTACAGACATGGGGAAAACTGGACAAAGTGATATTTACCACCATTGTTTTGAAAATTCAAATGTTACATAGGAAATAAAGTTAGTATTTGGAAAGATGAAAAGGAAAAAAGAAATCTGATGTTCAACTTCATTTGTCAGAGAAATGCAAATTGAAATCACAATGCAAAACCATGACACACCTACCATAGTAGTTAAAATTTAATAATATAGTGTTGAAGATGAGTAGAAACTAGACACTCATCCTCTACAAAATGTTAATTATATATAAAGTATGTACAACGAAAACTATGTCTTCTGAATCTAACATAAATGTTAACGTTTTAAAAAATGACTTACCTCTTTTTGAACAACACTGAATTTTTCAAGTAGTTCACATTTTTCTTCAATTAGTATAGAAAGTTTGGCAGCAAGCTTTTTTTCTCTACCTAAAAATAAAGAGTCAATATTATCATATGCAAATTATTTTTAAGTTTTAAAATTATAAGCAACAATCATTAGCTCTAAATGAGAAGAAAGAGCTTACCTACATAAAGTCGGCTTTGAACCTGAAACAAATTTTTAAGAGAAATTACATTAAAAGAAATGTAAATTTAAGCAAATCTAACTTATTTATCTTCTACTGCCAACTTAAAAATAATAGGTTTATTTTTACACATTAGTCAAAAGTGTTTTTCCCAATGACAAAATTAAAAAAAATATATGGATGAATCTTAGCAATATAAGAAGTAAACAAAAAGTTCCCAAAGATAAAATATACTATGGTACCCTTTTTAAAACTGAAAACAAATACCTATACACTATGCTACTGAGGAATATATGTATACATGTTGTTGTTGTCAAGTCAGTTCCAACTCATATCAACTCAGTATAGTGTTTCTGAGTGGCTGATGAATTCAAATCACTGACTTTTTGATTCAAACCAAACTTGCAGTCCAGCGTTTGTCCTACAGCACCACACCAGGACTCCATATGTATACATACTGTTGTTGTTAAGTGTCGTCAAGCTGGTTCTGACTCATAGTGACCCTGTACAGGGTTTCCGAGGAGCGGCTGCTGGGTTTGAACTGCCAACCTTGCAGCTCAAACTGACCTTACAGTCCAGCACATTATCCTGAAGCTCCACACCAGCACTCCATATGATACAATAAAATTATTTTTTTTAAAGAGGGAGGGAAACAATGAGTGTAAATCCAATATTCTCCCATGTTAAACTATCGCTCAATTCACAATAAAAACTTTTTTTAAAAAAATTATATCATTTTAAAAAGGGGGGCTGTAAAGAGACAAAATAGAATACAGAATAGTGGTTATCAATCAATACAGGGCATAAGGGGGCTTAAATGACAGTCAATGTTTTACATTCCAGGTTGGGTGGCACATTCATAAACACCTGGCATATAATCAAAAGCAAACACACACCAAATACATTTAAAAAAATAATAAAGGTCTAGTTTTAGTATTGATGCAGAACATTTCAACAAAGAAATTCCTTAAAATTTTTACACTTAAAAATATCTTCTGAATCCATTTGTAATACCTATACATAACTTGTTACTTAAAATAAAAATGTTTTCCCATATTATTTGTTCAACCTAAAGACCTAAAAAATGAACATTCTTTTAGAATAGCATTAGTTACTTACTGATCGAAAAATTCTCCACAAAAACAAGAGAACAGCAAAAAATCCAAAAATAAATACACATATCATGAATTCCCATGGAAAATCATAGGGCTTCGAACTTCTCATATCGCCAGGCAATGTAGCCACAACCTTAAAGACAAAGACAATTACGTTTTTTTAAATGCACTTTTAATTTTAAAATATTAATTATAAACACAGGTACACATTTAAGTGGTTAATTCTATTACCATTCTTTTACTGAAAATGGACTACCAGACCACCACCAAGATACCTGTATATACTCTGGCAACTTTCAACTATCACCAAGTGATGAAGGATAGGAGCATGGTTGTTGTTGTTTTTATGTGCCATGGAGTCAGTTCCGACTCATAGCAAGATTTCCCAGGCTGTATGGGAGCAGAAAGTCTCATCTTTCTCCCACGGAACGGCTGGTAGTTTCAAACTGGTATCAATCCGTTTAGGTTTCTATCTGCAGAGCATATTGGGATTTCATACAAGTTTCCCTAAGGAGTTAGAAATCGTTCTGCTTTGGTCTGAAAACCACTGAGTAGTTGATATGGCATATGTTTACAATGTGAACACCCTACTCTATCTTGTGGCTCCTTTCTCTCATCTATCCATACAGGTGAATAATGCTGTTTGAATACATGGGCAGGTACTTGATAGAAAGTAACTATTTCTATTATTCCTGCTCCAAAGATCATGATTCTGTAACAACAACCTTCCCGTAATACTCTCCCTAACAGGTATTCAGCACAGAGCTTAAATTGCTTTTGCAGTTGCTCCTTTCTCTGGGTCAACCGTGTTAGGGCAAAACTGGGATAGGATAAAAAGGGTTTTCAACAGCTGATCTTTGAGAAGTAGATTTCCAGGACTTTCTTCTAAGGAACTTCTGATGGACTCAAACTTCCAACCTTTCTGTCAGCATCCATTTGAACCTCCCAGGAATTTGTACCTCAATTCAAACAAAAAGAAATATATATATATATATATAAATTGCTGCAAATCAATTCCATTGTATATCCTAGACTGGAAACTTCAATTGGTTGCATCTGGTGGAATGACGAACAGCAAGGAATCTGAATCTCAAGGATTCATCTCTAACTCCACAGACCTGGTCTTAATTATTCTGGGTTTCACCTAAGTAATTTCATATACACATGTATACAGAACCGACCGGACGGCACTTAACAACAACAAACTGCCATCAAGTCAACTCTGAATCATAGCAACCCTTGTGTAGGGTTTCCAAGGAGTGGCTGGTGAGTTTGAAGTACCAACATCGTGTTTCAAATAGATAGATAGACACACACACACACACACGTGTGTATGTACATATATGTGTATATGTACATATGTATATATATGGAGTCCTGGTGTGGCGCTGTAGGTTAATGCGCTGGACTGACTGTAAGTCGGTTTGAACTGCAAAGTTGGTGGTTCAAGCTCACCAGCTGCTCCTAGGAAACCCTATACAGGGTCGCTATGGGTTGGAATAATATATATATATATATATTAACCTTTTGAATTGGGTGGAGGTTTACAGTCATCCTTATATTTTAACAACAATATGTTGTTGTTAAGTGCCATCAAGTAGGTTCCGACCCATAGCCACCCTGTATAGAGTTTCCAAGGAGCAGCTGGTGAGCTTGAACCACCGACCTTGCAGTTCAAATGGCTTTGCAGCCTGGTGCATTAACTCACAGCACCACACCAGGATTCCAACAACAATATAGCACCCTATTTTACAAATGCATACAAGGAATAACCAAGTTTATCAAACAAGTTACCTGGAAACTGATACTAAATTTTAGAAGTAAGGGGTAACACTCCATAAACTGTGGTGGCAGTCATTAATCACTGAACACTAAAAATCTATTTCATCAAAATAATATGAGTACTACATAAGTTCAACATAGAACAATCAAATAATATCAGAGCCTCAGAAGGTATTTACTACAGACTAGGTTTGGGGTTCCACCACTCGTCTGTCAGTTTGTCGTACTGTGGTGACTTATGAGATGCTGTGATTCTGGAAGCTATGCCACGGGTATTTTAAATGCCAGCAAGGTCACCCATGGTGGACAGGTTTCAGATGAGCTTCCAGACGAAGACAGACTAGGAAGAAGGAATGACAAACTACTTTCGAATATTTAGTCACTAGAAACGTTATGAATTGCAGAGAAACACTGTCAGATATGGTGCCAGAAAATGAGCCCCTCAGGTTGGAAGGCACTGAAAATGCAGCTGCCTCCTCAAAGTAGAGTTGACTGTGATGACGTGAATGGAGTAAAGCCCGTGGGACCTTCATTTACTAATGGGGAACAACTCAAAATGAAGAGAAATAACTAAACATCCATTAATACTTGGGACATGGAATGTACGAAGTATGAATCTAGGAAAATTGGAAATTGTCAAAAATGAAATGGAACGCATAAACATAGATATCTTAGGCATTAGTGAGCAGAAATGGACTGGTATTGGCCATTTTGAATCTGACAACCACATGGTTTACTATGCCCGGAATGACAAATTGAAGAAGAATGGTGTTGCATTCACTGTCAAAAAGAACATATCCAAATCAGTCATGAGATACAACTCTGTCATGTAAACTATCACATAATTCACAATAAAACATTTTAAAAAAAAGAGAGAGAGAGAGGGCCGAGTGCTGCAGGAGGAGATAAAAGAAGGCACGGACATATCCATCATCAAGGCTGTGCTGCCTATTGCTAAGAGCTTTGGCTTCGCTGATGAAATCAGGAAGCGGACAAGTGACCTTGCCAGCCCACAGCTGGTGTTCAGCCATTGAGAGAGTGTGACTCTGCTTCAGGGCCTGGGGCTTTGTCTAACCACTGACTGAGGTTGGCAGTACAGTCCTGGCTCTCTGACCATGGTCTGCAGTTGTCTGCTGGAGCATCATGGAGCATCGGGATGCAGGCGTTCACAGAGGGTGAAACTTTCTACCATCCTGGCCAGCACTCGATCATTCCCAGCAACCCATTCTGGGTGCCAACCACCGAAGAGGTGTACTTGCACTTCGGAGAAAAGGTTGATTCCGAGAACTAAGCGCGGAAGTATATGAACGCGGTGCGAAAAAGTCGAAAGGTCTGTGTGTGGAAGAAAAGATTGTGGAGCACGCGGAAAAGCAGAGAACACTCGGCAAAAATAAGTAACTACTACTGCTGGTGGGACAGACGGCTGGAGAGCAGGAGAATGCTTTCATGTTCCTTGTCCCTGTGTTGTCACTTCAATAAATTGTTATATCAGTAAAAACAAAACAAACAAAGAAAAACTAATGGTCTTTTCTGCAAACCATCACTCAATTCACAATCAAAAGTTAAAAAATAAAATAAAATAAAGCTAAGAAAACGCAATGGGATAGTCCTACTCTTTTGCAAGCGATGCCTATGAGTCAAAATCTACTCAAAAGCACCTAAAAACAGCAAATACTACCTACCATGAGTCCCAGGGTGGTTAACAGTTGGGCTGCAACCGCTGAAAACCCTACGGAGCACAGCTCTACTGTGACGTACATGGGCGTCATAATCACAATCAATTCTTTCTGAAGTGCTGGGAGATACCTGGACACATTCCTGAAATCCTCCCTTAAGTTCTCATGAAAATTTCCTAGCCACTCAAAAAAATTCCCTCAAACTTTGTTTGTGCTTGTTCTTCAGTAAATTTCTCATACAATTTTCTTGTATTCTCTCCGTAACAGACAGCATAACACTAGCGGCCAAACTTAGTTTTAGGTCATTCAGTCTCTTATGTTTCAGTATTTATTCTACACACAAAAATGAATGAATGAATAGCTTGACAACAGTACTTTTTAATTCACATAACAAGAAACTACAGTCATAACTACTACATGATTTTTTTAACTTTTGTTGTTGTTGTTATGTGCCGTGGAGTCGGTTCCGACTCATAGCGACCCTGTACAGGGTTTCCGAGGCCGTAAATCTTTACAGGAGAAGAAAGCCTCATCTTTCCCCTGCGGAACAGCTGGTACTTTCTAACTTTAGGGTAATTTTTTTTTTTTTTTAAACTATCTTTAAGCATGTCAATATAAACATTTAAGGAGTAAATCCCCTGCAATCTGATCATAAACTGAACCTGCAGAAAATGAAAACATTTTAAAAATTGGGAGTTTAACTATTTCCCGGTTTTACATTAACAAGGCACGGAAGAGAAAAGTAATCTCATCTATGGAAAGTATCTCAAAGGAGCTTTTTATTAAAAGAAAATGCAGAAGTGGAATCCCAACTCCCTGCCCAAGTTTAGCTGTCCTTTCAAGACAAGAAGTTTAAACACTGGAAGGAACTAATTTCAGAGTCAATCCTCGAATTTTCCAATTGAGGAATCTCCTGTCACTGAACCCTGCTCAAAACACGACGGAAAAGCTAATTCGTCTATGAATTACGGGGATATTTGCCAAACCTTTGCAAGTTCAGTTAAGCAAACAAATACTTTCTTCATCTTCTTGAAAAAACACCAAGTCCTGATTTCAGATCCCCTTCCATCACAAAGAAAACCGTCCCAACACCCTACGAACCTGGCTACTGACTGGGACACAGACTGAAACCCAGTGGCAGGTGAAATCTGGCCTCCGGACCTCTAGTTATTGGTACTCAAACCCCAAAAGTTAGAGACCGCTGATTCCTTTCCCTCGGCCACGTAACCCTGATCGCTCCCGGACTCACCCTGCGCAGCGGCTCCAAAACCAGACCTAAGTATGGCTACAGGGCAGCGCTAGGTCCCTCCATGGTGCCAAGGCAGCCAAGTGCCAAGGCAGCCACGGCCTGAACCCGGCCACATCAAGCAGCGAACAACACAGGGCTTTGCGTCAGAATCCCGCACCCGGCAACGGGAGCCGACCACCGCGGAGCCGGCTAAGGGGGTGAGCGGAACTTCCGGGGACGGCCGCCAGCAGGTCTTCCGTGCCCACACTGCCCACTAAGAGAGATTGGACCACTACATTACACTTTACGTACTGAGGCTCCACACCTCTGAGTCCCTCCCGTACGAGCCTACCAGACGCCTTCTCCTCGCCTTCTCTCCCCCCACCGCCTCAATTTGGTTTCGGCCAGGCGGCAGCTGAGAGGCAGTGTAGCTCGGAACGCAGTAAACTTCCTCTCCTTCTTCCCGCGAGGTTCGTAGACGTGTCCTGGTCGTTCGCTCTTAAAGGGACCGGCGCGCTACCTGGCGAAGCTATCCACGCATGGAGGTGGAGGGGCTTAAGACGGAGAAAGTGGGACATTGCTCTAAGGTGTGGGCCTCCCACCCCGGAAGATCATCGCTGTGGCCTCAGAGCCCCCGACTCAGGTGCCACAGCGGCTGGAGGTGTCTCCGACACAGGCCGCTCGGCGCACCCCCTCAGTCCTGGCCCAGCCTCAACCACAACGCTTCAACTCTAGCCGCCCCCCAAGAGCCTGCCATCTGCACCCCAGGCAAAACCCTGGCAGCATCGTACCCCATGAGACCCAGCCCGGCCTGGGAAGCTGGATGCTGTCTTCATGCTGGCCAGTCTGCCACCGTATCCGGTCTCTGGACTTGGGACAAGAAGGCGACTGAGGTCAATAAATAGTCTGGACAAAGTTTAATCTCACCCAAGCAAGAGAGATCAATCGGGATTCGTCTGCCCAATGGAGAATTCGTGCGGTTACCCAGTTTTACCTGAATTACCTGGAGGCTTGCTAGGCTGAACTGCCTTAAATTCCATTAACTCCTAGTTACCCAAATGTTAAATCAGGCTCAAATGGACCTTTACTGGGCACGTGCTCGTCGCAGCTAAGGAGAGCTAAAAGAAGCAGCTTGTCTTCTAAATTTAGGACTCTATGTTTAGGTCTGTTAAAGAAAGTAAGGAAGACTGAATTTGTTTGTGGAAGAGTTTTAGCTGACATAGGTGTAAGGAACAACCATCTCTTAGAAATCTTCCTTGTCAGCATAATAATCATTCTCACCAAATCCAACTCAACTCAAAAAGCAGATCCTTCTTCCTAAGTAAATCACTCAAGCAATTAACAGAATCATAAATCCTTAGGATTTATGTAAATTCCTAATGTCAACTCTTGCAGCAACAAAACTGTTGTGTCAAGAACAATCTAAAAATGGCCCTGGTTCACATCAAATGATTTTCAGGACCAAAATGTGGCCTTCTGGGAGCTCAAAAGACTATCTGGTTTGCCTAAGGAGTTTCTGGTACTGCCAATATCAGACAAGAGCAGAAACTGAGTAATTCGTCTCCATTTACACAACCTGCGTTTGCGTTGAATAGTGTTTTTCTTAAATTTTGTGACTTGTTGTTTTGTGCCGTGGAGTCGGTTCTGACTCATAGCGACCCTGTAAAGGGTTTCCGAGGCTGTAAATCTTTACGCGAGAAGAAAGCCTAATCTTTCTTCCGCGTTTCGAACTGCTGACCTTGTGGCTTGCAGCCCAATTCGTAACCATTACGCTACCAGAGCTACTTAAATTATGTGACTAGCTTATTAAAAACTAAACAAAATAAAAATTTTATGTTTAGAACTTCTAAGAACTTCAAGTCATAGGAACAATGTATGCCTCAATCAGTACATTGTATTATGCAACAGAAATTCAGTGAATCAGTGTTTTCAGGGATCTTCAGAATAATTTTTCAGCTTTTAGGACTTGTATATTCATAATCTTGGACTCCTAGTATGGTACTGTAGGATCAGTACTTGACTGCAAGCCACAAGGTGGCAGTTCAAACCCCCCAGCCGCTCCTTGGAAACCCTATATAGGATCACTATGCGTCGAAACCAACTCAGCAGCATTTAACAGCAACAACATATTCATAACCTGTATTATATATCCATATATGCATATATAAGATTGCATATTTGTGTGTGTATATATATGTGGTTGTTAGGTGCCATCAAGTTGGTTCCGACCCATCGCAACCCTGTGCGCAACAGAACAGAACACTGATTGGTCCTTCGCCATCCTCACAATCGTTACATTGAGCCCATTGCTGCTGCCACTGTGTTCCAGCCATCTTGTATGTATACACACACATATATTACAAGAGGGATTCAAAAAGCTGATGGAAAAATTCTATTATCTTTTCATTCTTTTTCCATCAACTTTTTGAAACACTTAT